TACCATTTTTTATTACAAGAGAAAATAAAATCATTTTTCTAGAAAAGAAATCTTTCTAAATACCTGAATGGATGAATTATATATAAGCAATATTTACGAATGTAAATTAAATACCAAATATCTATTTTCTTTGAATCCAAAATGAGAATAAAATTTCAATTTTTCCTTCATAATACATATCATTATTTAAATGATCATAATATTTTAAATCAAAATTTTTTGTAATTGAAGATAATAATTAATAATTAATTGGTCTCATCGATGAGTATCAAGAAATATTATGTCATTGGAACATTTAATTGATAAGATTTTTAAATTTGAATAGAATTTAGTTAAAAAATCTTTCCAATTGATTAAATGTTATTTCATACATATCTAAATAAATCAAGTTAAAATTATATAAATTTATTTTAAAAAAATTTTGAAGATTTTTATTTTTCTTATAAACATATAAATGACCAAGTTATGGAGTATAAGAAGTTAAAAAGAAGAATTTCATTTAAAGTACAATGATGATCAATCATTAGATATTTAATATAACTATATTGTTGATCACTATGAATAGGTAATTAAAATAAATAAATCTTAATTGTTTATTGAAAATTTGAAATATTTTAACAATAGTAAATTCAAAACAAATTCAATATATATCAGCTGAATATTTCAAAACATTAAAAATATTAATAATCAACGAAGAAAAACATATTAAATTTGATAAATTAGAAAGAACTGATAAAAAGTAAATTTGGTTCAACTTGATTAATAATAAGAAATTTTAGATACTTAAATGATGAATCAATACAAAACCATGCAAAGAAATGGTTGCTTCTTAATCGTAAATATAAATTTAATGAGTATATTTAATGTCTATTAATAAATTTGATTTGTTTGTAAAAGTTTTTATATAATTTATTTGATGTTAAATGATATTTGATTTTAAATAAAAGTAATGGAGAATTAAGAAGTTGTTTTAAATCGATAATTAAGATTTCAAGAATTTACATATAATTCATAACCATCAAGATAATCAAAGATTTTATAAAATAATTCATTTTATAAATTTTCGATACGCACTATGGATATATTGTACTATATGTTGCTTCGTATGCAGTTAGAGAAATGAAAGAAATAAATATATAAGAAAGACATATACTGTTAATAATGATATGTAATCAATGTGGAATATTTTTATATTGTTATATAACTAACTAACTGATCTTTTAGTTTTTTCCTATTCTTCTCTATAGAATATTTACTATAGAATGAATTATTTTCATTTTTATTCAACATTATCAATGTCTTGATTTTTTTTTTTATATTACTAAGTAATAAAATAATTCAATTATTTATGAGAATAAAAATAAGAATTTTTTTAGATTAATCCAAAACATTTTATTTTATTTATTTAAATAAATTGTAAAAGAAAAAAAAAATACATATCTTTGATTCATTTCCATTTTAAATAAACATTATCTAATACACGTTTAATTATAAAAGGAGGAGGTAGATTTTCATATTTAATTGTTTGTTTAATATCTTCAAGTATTTTATCATCTGCTGTTGGAATATTAAGACATAATGAATTAGGATGATGATTATAATATTTAATATTATTGAAAATAGTACGAAAAAACAATTGAATATCCAACAAATTTATAAATCCAACTTTAAAATATTCCATATTAGGACAAAATTCGAAAATAACATTAAGTTGTTTAATATTATTAATCTCTTTAAGATAGACCTTGGTAATTTTACTTATCTCTTTCATTGACCAGACAATATAAAGTTCTTCAAAAGTAATTTCTGTTGTTCCGTCTGTTAATATTGAATGAACTTTTAATGTAATTATTTGTGATAATTGATTAAGAATTCGAATCAATATAGAAATTGAAATTTCTTTTTCAAAAATTTCTAAATGATAAATCTTTGTTATTGTTAAAGTTCGTTCAATTTCTTCAAATATAGAATCATCAATAAATTTTAATGTCAAATTGGTAGAATAATTAATTATATTATTGTTTCTATCATCATACCATTTTTTACTAAAAAAAAAAATAAAAATTATTAATTTTATTTATAGATTTATATTCATTAATATACTTGTATGGACGAATTTTATATTCAATATTGAGAAAGTTAATTTCAACATAAAATATCCATTTTCGTTCAATCCAAAATGATGATGAAAAATCATTTATTTTTCCAGAATAAATTGGATATTGATTGTCATTATTTATAGATTCATAATAATTCAAATAGAATTTTTCTAATTGAGGATAATACTTTAAAATAATTATTTCCCATTGATGAGCATCAAGCAAATCAATATTTTTTGAAAAACTAATAGATAAAATTTTTAAATTTGAATATATTTTAGTTGAAAATATTTCTAATTTATTAAATGTGCTTATTATTTTTTTTTGATAATGAAATAAAAAAAAATGAGTTTTAATTAAAAATAATGAAGAATAAAGAAGTCTATCAAATTGAGAATTAAGATTGGAAAATTTTTCAATTATTTCATAACCATTGAAATAATCAAAAATTTCATAAAAAATTTCATTTGAAAAATCTTCAATACAAGTTATTGATTGATCTATTAAAATTAAAATATCAATAATACTTATTTTTATTAGATAAATTACTTACTTTCAAATATCTTACTTTTTTCTTTAAATAATTCATTTAAAACGATTTTTTGTTCAAATTTATTCATATCTATTCTATTCATATTCTAGAGAAATTTTTTTTTTTCGACTATTTCAATATTTTCAATTGACTTTTATA